GTCCCACTCATCCTCAGTGGCCAAGATCCCAAGAGATCAAAAGACAGAATTCCTACCCAGAGTTAGGGCTTGGCACAGCTGGCCTCTGTCCAGCCACTAATGGACATCTAAAACTCTAATATTAGCCATGTGTGGTGGTGCACCCATTACTCAAGAGGCAGAGACAGGTGGATTTTCGTGAGTTTGAGGCTGACCTGATCTACATGGCAAGTTCCAGGCCAGTTAAAGCTACATAGACCCTGTCTCAAAAAATAAAATAAAACCGAAATTCCAATGCCCCTTAATGTTACACAGTTGACAGAGTCTCTGGATACTGCAGATTGGAGCATGTGTTGGTTGGTCTTAAGTTCACTCCAACTTCTTTGTATGTACAACTTTTTTTTGTTTTGTTTTCTTTTTTGAGACAGGGTTTATCTGTATTGCTTTGAAGCCTGTCCTGGAACTAGCTCTATGTAGTGAGATAGTCCTTCTGTAGCACTGACCACGCCCATTGGGGGGTGGAGCCATGGGCGGAAGTGACCTGTGGAAGGAGGTCCGAGGGGGCCAGGAAGGCTCTCTCTTTCTGGCCTGACTCGGACAGGAGAGGATCGGGTTGAATTTCCTGGTGTTCATCTGTCTAGGTTGTAAGTTATTTCTCCCTGAATAAACATCTATTCGGCCTATTTGTTTATCCTGATCCTTATTTACCGCGATAGCTCTATAGACCAGGCTGGACTCAAACTCACAGAGATCCGCCTGCCTCTACCTCCCAAGTGCTAGGACTAAAGGCGTGCGCCACCAATGCTCAGCACGACTGCTCTTGATCCAGACATTGCTACAGTCTAGCTGCCCAGCAGAATAAAGGCTGTGCTCTTTCTTCAGCCTGGCATTCTAGACTTCTGGTAGCCTGGCCCTAACCTATCTCTGGTGAATATTTCGTATTCTATGTGTTTACTGGTCCTTCCTTTAAAATATTATTTTATGTGCATGGGTGCTTTGTCTATAAGTGCCACATACGTACAGTGCCTGAGGAAGGGAGAAGAGGGCTTTGGGTCCCCTGGAACTGAAGATACAGAGGACTGTGAGCCACCATGTGGGGGCTGGCAATCAAACCTCTAGAAGACCAGACTCTTAACTTCTGAGCCATCTCTCCAGTTCCCTTTTATGATAGCTCAGCTCTTTCCTTTGGAGAACCGTCCTTCCTCTTACTGATCGTATGGTGCAGGCTGACAGTGCTAACTTAAGTCTGAGGTAAATCAACTTAAAAGATGAAGGCTTATTTTGGCTCACAGACTCAGAGGTTTCCTTCCAAGACTGGTCCAGCTGCTTTAGGGTGTATGGTGAGGTAGTGAGAGCATATGCAAAGAGAGATGCATGGTGATATGGTTACGTAACAATGTGGAAGCCAGATGTCACTCACTGAATGTTATTCTTGACATTGACTAAAATGGAGGTTTTATGTTAAAAAAAAAAAACAATAACAACAAAGAAGCAACTGACATGGAAGGAAGCAACGATGAATGATGAATGCAGGAGCCGGATGCATTCCTGGGTGCAGCTGGTCCACAGTGGTCCTTGGGCCAAGCTATTGTGGTATCGATGGCTCACAGGGTTACTTGAGCCAAAAATCTCTCTTCGGACCTCCACTCACTTGTGCCAGGCTTCTGTTCCTGGCACCTGATGGAGCCACAATACAGAACTTTCCATTCAAGCCTCTCTGTCATATCCTTTCAAATATTCTTTCCAGTTACACCCTGCTGCTCATGCTTCCTTGGCCTGAGCATGCCTTTGCCTTCCCACTACGTGCTTCTTTCTGGCTTCCTCATTTTGGAATTTTCCTTTCCTCCCCTAACAAGCTTGCCCACTCTGACTGACACCTTGCTATGAGAGCTCTTCTTCGTGAAGTCCATCCTGCCCCCGAGAAAAGCCTGCCATCCCCTCCACTGGCCTGTCCTCACCTTTGTGTGTATGTGCCTTCATCGCCTAGTGCTCCAGTGCTCTCCCTTCTCAGCCGTAACCCTCAGAAAGCTTCGTGCTTCATCTCTACCATGACTCCAGCTTTTGGCAGAGAGCTGTGCAAAGGAAGTATAATGAGTATTGACTGAGTGAGTGAGAGTCTTTTCCTCCTTCATGCCATCTCCCTGAGTCACAACCCGGTTACTAAAGATGAGAAAGAGAAGGAAAAGTGGGAGGAACCTGCCTTGTTCTGTTCAACATTGATGATTCAGTAGAGAAAAGCCTTGGGAAACGGGGCCACTGCAAAGCCCAGTGGCATTTACAAGAGGTCTGTTTTCTGCTAAAGCCCTGAGACCGACTCTGTTTGGGAATCTGTGCCCAAGATGAGCGGACATTTGGGTTTTCCAACAAGCTAGAATTCTTTTCAATCTTTCTCCTTTCTCTCTCTCTCTTTCTCCTTCTTTCCTTTCTTTCGTTCCTTCCTTCCCTTCTTCCTTCGTTTTCCTTCCTTCCTTGCTTGCTTGCTTTAATAAAGTCTCATGTAGCCCAGGCTAGCCTCTGGGACCCTACTGCTGGAATTACAGGCATGCACCACCACATGCCAGAGAGCAAACTGGAATCTGAGAGCAGTTCCTGTCAGTTGTACAGAGAGACAGACCTCAGGGCATCTGGCTGGAATTGGGGTTCCCTGCCCTTTGGCACAATCTGACAAAGAAACAGGCAATCCTCTTCCTCACCCTCCTCTTAGAAGGATGAGAGTTGAGAATAGTCAAAAATGAGTGGAGAGAGCTGTGGCCGAAAGAATATTATCTACTACACAGCCGACCTTTCCCTTACCTGTTCCAGTCTCTGTTGCAGTTGGACTGCACCTGTGTGGCCAGTTCTGGTTAGCAGTCTGGGAGTGGAAGCTGTTGTTTAGTTGTTGATGAGCAGCCTCCAGCCCTCTTTGTCATTGGGGCAATCTGAACATCTGCTCTTGAGATGAGGGAATTCAGGAAGCTGTTTGTGGTGGTACACAACTTTAATCCCAGCTCCTGACAGGCTGAGGCAGGAGGAACTCTATTAGTTTGGGGCCAGCCTGATCTATATAGTAAGTTCCAGAACAGCCAAACGTTGCCACATGGGCCCTGTCTCAAAAACAAAACAAGTAATTTTTTAAAAGGTAACTTACCTTGGAGAATACCTTGACTCATAGCAAATATATTAATTTTCTCATTGCTCTGAAAAATACTTGGCAGAAGCAGCAAGGAGGAGAAAGGGCTTATTTTGGCACAGTTTGAGTGTATAGATAGACTATCATGGTGGAGATGGCATGGTGGCTGGAAGTCCTTATAACGTATCTGTAGTCAGAAGGCAGAGGGAGAGAGGATGCTGGTGGGGATTCAGCTACTTTCTCCCGTGTGTTCAGCTTCAGGACTCCCAGCCATGGGATGGTGCCACCTACACTCAGGGTGGATCCTCCCTGCTCATCTCAGCTATACAGAAAGCACTGTTATAGATACAACCAGAGATGTGTTTCTGTGGTGACTTTAAATGGAACCAAATTGATACTGAAGATTAACTGCCACAACAGGTTTTACACAGGTGGGGAAAATACACCCATGGGAAGCCACTGAACTATCTGGAGTTTTTATCACCACAGCAGAGCCTAGCCTGTCCTGAGCATCACACAGGCACAAATTGTTGTTTTAGTTATCCCGTATCAAATTTCTTTCCTACTGGATTAACCCTTAATACTGAGCCTTGATACCCATAATACCTCATATAGGACTCCTTGTTATTGCCAAACCCAGTAGTCATTTCTCTGTTCTTATCTTTCTTGATTTCTCAGCATTTGTCACAATTGTCAACTGTAAACAATTTATCTTGGCATCTATGACATCAGACCTGCTTGGTTTTCCTCTTAGGTCACCAGACCCTGATTTTCAGTTTTCATTACTGAACATTTTTTCCAATGGGTTTTGTTGTTGTGTTGTTTTTAATCTCGAAAGTTTGAAGATCTGGGGACCTGGTTTTTAAATAATGGCCAAGAAAAAGACTGCTTATTATGTACGCTCAAGTATTTGTTATTTCATTATGCCATTCTCCTCTCTCTGAGGCATGCTAGGCAAGTACATTACTACTGAGCCCTCGTCCTACCACTGCTTATTAATAACAAAGGCACTATTTTTATCTCTTAAAAAGGAAAGAAACAGATGTGTCAAGATGACTGTTTTGACCAATGAGATTTAAGCAAAATATGCAGAGCTTCCAAACCTGTCTTCTTAAAAGAAAAAAGACATTTTCCTTCCCACTGTTTGGAATATGGAACCAGGATGGGGTGACCTTAAGACTGAAGCCTGAACTGTCAATGTTTGGACATACTTTCCATGGAAAGAAAATTTTCTGTTGTAACCCTCCATCCCCTTTTATTTCTTTAATTTGCAACCAAAATCTAATCCTGACATGTTTTTGTTGCTGTTGAAGGTGTTTGCCTGTCTCTCATTACCAAACCTGAGGGTTTGGGGAAGGGGAAAGGACAAAAAACTGCCAGTCCTCTTTCTATCAACAGTGGATAATCAGAGTACCTGGAAGATAGAATGGGAGATAGAGTTTAGGAGTAGTTGGCAGAAAACAGCAATTGACAGATTAAGAACTTTGGGTTTTATTCCACGCGTCCCTCGCAGTCAGGGGAATCTGTCTGTCTTACCTAGCGGTGCCTCTCACTCTGTAGATGTTCATTGAATGACTATATTCCCTACCCCTTAATGGCTAGCCTCAACAGATGTGTTGGACTGTGGGCTCGTGGGAATCAGCACCGGATCAACGCTCGTCTTCTTTTCACAGATGAACTGAAGACTCCCCACCAGGAAAGAGCACCCAGCCCACCGGGTCCCAGACGTGGAATGGAGGGTGGAGCCTGTGCAATATGGCTGCGCCAGACCGCCTGACAGCAGGAGGCGGGGCTTCACCGCAGCCCGCAGGCCCCGCCCTCCCAGCCCCGCCCAACTCCTCTCGCGGGGCCGCGCGGGTTGTGAGGTGTCTGAGGCCGGCGCCTGCGCAGTGGGCCGCGGCGCGCGGGGCGGAGGCTTTATAACCACTTCGTAGCGGCTGGTCGGCTTCTGTCTCCGGGAGGGCTGCCGAGGCGGCGGCGGCGGCGGCGGCCGGGGCGCCGGCTGGGGGGCCGCTGAGGCGGGAGCTGCGGCGGCGCTGGGCGCCCCTGGCCCCTCAGCCTCTGCCGGCCATGGGCTCCGAGAAGGACTCCGAGTCGCCGCGCTCCACCTCGCTCCATGCGGCCGCCCCCGACCCTAAGTGCCGCAGCGGCGGCCGGCGCCGGCGCCTCACCTTCCACAGCGTCTTCTCCGCCTCGGCCCGCGGTCGCCGCGCCCGGACCAAGCCTCAGGCCGAGCCGCCGCCCCCGGCCGCGCCGCCGCCTCCCGCCCCGGCCCCGGCTGAGGCCCAGGCCCCGCCGATGGAGGCGCTGCCCGCCGAGCCCGCTGTCGAGGCTGAGGCGGAGGCCGCGGCTGCGGGGCCGGAGGAGGACGAGGCGGCCGAGGGCGGCGGCGCGGAGGAGGTGGAGTGTCCGCTGTGCCTGGTGCGCCTGCCGCCCGAGCGGGCCCCGCGCCTCCTCAGCTGCCCGCACCGCTCGTGCCGGGACTGCCTCCGCCACTACCTGCGCCTGGAGATCAGCGAGAGCCGCGTGCCCATCAGCTGCCCCGAGTGCAGCGAGCGTCTCAACCCACACGACATCCGTCTGCTGCTGGCCGACCCGCCGCTCATGCACAAGTACGAAGAGTTCATGCTGCGCCGGTACCTGGCCTCGGACCCCGACTGCCGCTGGTGTCCGGCCCCTGACTGCGGGTGAGCGCGGGGGCGTGGCCGCGGGGGGCTGTCCCGGGTGCAGCGGGTGTCACCTCCCCGCTTGAGGGAGGAAAGGAGGATACCTAGCAAGAGGGAGAGGAGGGATGGTCGTGAGAAACCGACCCTAGGATCAGCCCGCAACCGGAGCGGTCGCACTCAGCACCCTATGCCTACTTAAGAGTTTGAGGTGGTGGCTGAGCGGTTAGAGAAGGGAACTGTCCATTAAGTCAGGAGACCAAGGGTGAGCAGGGGCTTTTTGTTTTGTTCTTGCCAGTTTTTTTTTTTTTGGGGGGGGGGAGGTGTCTCGTAATGAAAGTGGAGGGATATTTATTAAAGGCGAGAGAATGAAAACGCTCTACCGAAGGGGCAGCGCTTCCGAGGGGTGTGTCCATCTGGCTGGGGCGCACTTCGCAGCATTGCAGAAGGCGTGTTCTTCCTGACAACCGCTGCTGAAAGTTGAGATGTAGATGAGAGAAGGCAGCTCACTAACAGAGCTCTAGGGGCACCCTGAGCACTGAGTACTGTGCCAAACTATCGGCAGGCACAGTTAAGAATTGTGATTCTTAACGTGCTGCCTAGGCCAGGATGAGTGGAAGCAGACGCTTTGTCCAGGAAAATCAACGGGGCACTGAGATGGTGACTACCCAGAGTTGATTCGTTGGAGAAAATGTGTTTGCCTACCCTCTCAGTTGATCTGTATGACAGCCGTTTTAATGCCCTATGTATTCTTAATTTCAAAGGTCAGTGCGTTAATATCATATACTCTGTCTGCAGACCAGTAATCCCCGATTTCCCTATCTGAAGCGTTCAGCGGAGGTTCTCCACCCCCTTTCTTAAAAGATCTGGTTGTCACTATCATTCCAATCTATTAATGACCAAATACAGCCAAGAAGGGACTCTTCTGTGTGATGGGGAGTCAGACTGCCATTACCTGCTCTGTGACCTTGGACAGATTAATTACATTCTTGTGTGTTATGTTTTGGGGGCAGAAGATTCTCCTCACAGCGCCTAGTGTAATGCTAGTAAAAAGCTGTGTGAACCCTTGCTTCAAAGGAGATAAAAGCTTTAATTGTAGCCTGTGTGTCAAGGCTGAGTTGAGGTTTCCATGATGCTGCCATTTGTCTCCCTTCAAAAAGAAGCTGTTTGGGGTGTCAGAGAGTGCCAGACTTGTTAAGAAGTAGGTGTATTTAACCTCACCAAGTTTCTAAATTACTCAGAGTTCCTTGGAAATGTGGTCAAAGGTACCTAGATCGCTTTCACTTTCTGTTCAGTGAGTACTAGGAAAGGCCTTACAAGCTCATGAAAGGGTGTCTGGTGGCCTTACTGGCTTTGGAGAGGTTAATGTATAGAATATTCAGGTTTTGCTGATACTATTGGTCAATTTTCTGAAAGCTCTCCCTGATTAATTGCCTAATAGTGTGTTAACTCCTTTTTTAGAGATGAGAGTTTATTTGAATTTTAACAATGAAATGTGACTTCCCTTATCATCTTTTTGGGAAAGCTCCCCAATTTGTTTTGTCTTTTAATGTAAATCTGTGTCTTTACTCACATCAATATAGATGAGTAGAAATGAATATGAAAGCTTGGTGGCAAATCCAAACAAACCACTAGTGATTTTTTAAAGTTATTAAAGGGTTAAACCGTTTTCTTAATTTAGCAAGATTGGGGTAGGTTCATCCAGAGGATATGTGTGTGGGGGGGGAGGTGTGCCTTTGTTTTTGTTTTGGGTTTTGGTTTTTTTTGTTGGTTTTTTTTTCCTTTTTTTTTTTTTTTTTTTTTTTTTTTTTTGAGATTCTGTCAGTTTTTGTTTCAATTAGTTAGAATGTAAAAATCCTGTGCACACCGTTGTATGTGTACCTGTGTGTTTAAAGAAAGTAAAGTTTAGGGAAAAAAAACAAACCCGAATCTGTGTACCTGTGCTGGGCTTGCATATTTTGATCTTCACAATGTGAGGTTGATGTGATACAGTTTTACAAATGGGAAAACTGGTATTTAGAGAAATTAAATAATTTTTTTCAGGGTCGTTACAACAAACTGGTAGGCAGTGAAACAAACCAGTGTTGGAATACTTCCAAAGCAACATTTCTTCAACTCAAGTATTAGCTTGTCATCACAATCCGAACTTTGGGGACCACCACTGCTTGGACATGTTGTAGGAACAACAATGAAAGAGTGAGGGATGCTAGACTCTAGCTTCTCTTCTGATTCCTGTTAATAGTCTTAACTGCTTTATTTTTCTTATCTGATAGAGGCCTAATCCTTTCTTAAGAATTAAGAGGCTTAATTAAGTAGTGTTTATAAAGTGACTGAAATATTCAATTTAAGGTGGTTAGATATACAGAGCCCCTTTAGAATTCGGTTACTTTCCAAATAATTGTCTGAGTTCCCTATGGACAGTTGTTCTGCTACCTCTTTTTAATGCCAGAAGAAAAATAGCTTTTGTGGTGTGTGTGAAGACCAGAGGTCAATTTAGGGTGGCCAGAGAGCCTCAGAGTGCTACCTCTTCCTGCCTCCCCAGGGCTGAACTCCAAGACTGTGCTGCCACTTTGGACTCACTCTGTAGACCAGGCTGGCCTCAAGCTCCCAGAGATCTAGCAGTGTCTTTCTCCTGAGTGTTGGCCCTCCATGCCTAGATTCAGCCTCTTGTTATGCTTTGTTGATGACCTTGAGCTCCATCTAACCCACCTGCCTCTGCCTGCTCAGTGGTAGGGCTACAGTCCTGAACCACGGCACTGATTTTATAAGTGCTCGGATTGAATCTGTGCTCTGTGCATGTCAAGCAAGTTTTCTGCCTGCTGAGTTATATTCCTAGTCCTCATTTGGTTTTTCAGACAGTATTGCTACTTAGCCAAGTCTGTCTCAAACTCTTGATCCTCCTGTCTAGGCCTCCCCAGTACTGGATAACATCTGAGCACTACCATGTATGGATTTTTTTTTCTTTTCTTTTTTTAAATTAAACTGTCCTATTCTGGGTCTCGCAAAAATCGTGTGTAAGCATTAGAAAAGTGCCCCTAAACCTCATTTATCTGTTCGTATACCTGACCACGTTTACTGCCCACGTATCACTCTTGACAGCCAAATTGGCCAAATTTCCCATGTATGTATGTGAACATGCTTCAGGCTAAGGGGTTATATAAGTGACCTCAGAGTTATGATTGCTTTACCATGACTAAGTTAATGAGAACACCATAAATTAAGAGATCTGTTCTTTTATATATATACATTTATAGAACAGAAAGTGTTCTCCTACTTCTTTTATCACATGACTTTATCATCTAGAGAACCAATTTCAATGGGAAAGGGTATACATTATTATTTGGTATACCAAATACTGTAGTAACAAGTGTAATTTTAAAAATATACCTTTCAAGTGAGATAAAATTAGCTTAAAATGTAAGTAGCTTGCATTTTTGTAGTTCTTTGTAGTGAGTCTTCAAAGTATTATCTCAATGAAACAGTAATCTCACTTTAGCCACATACAGATAGATGGTGGTAAGTGTACTTTGTAAAGGAGAAACTTGTTCAAGGAAGTTTAAATGTGGCTTAATGCTTCCTAGCTAGTAAGTGGTGCAGTTGATCTGTTACACTTTTGAGTCACTGCCTAAGTGTGTCCTTTCAGAATCCCACAAGTGATGTAATGTATTGTTTTCCTCTCAGCTCTTCTGTTGTCCATCTTTAATTTTCAGAATCTTTGAGAGACTGAGGGCTGAGTAGAGTAGGCAACAGAATTCCCCATCATACAGGGGCAGGTCCTCAGAACAGAAATACTATGACTCTCTTGACCTAAATTCTGTTGCAGGTCCAGGCTTCAGCCTCTCATTGCTGCAGAGTTCTACTTCTCACTGGTCCCAGCAGATAGCATATCAGCTATTGGCCTTCCCACACTACTGGCCTGACCCATCTTATAAACAGGAAGCCTCTGTTCACACACATACACACACACACACACACACACACACACACACACACACACACACAGAATTATTTTATATATAGTACATTTGTAAAAGAGGAACAAGCTCCCTGGATGAGAGATTTCACATTCAGTAAAGGATTTTTCTTTTGTTTGTTTGAGACAGGGTCTCGCCCTACATCCCTGCTGACTCAAACTTTCAGTAGCCCTCTCTTCTCTGCCTCCTGAGCTCTGAGGCTACAAGTATACACCATCATGTCTAACCAGGCCTTTTCCTTTCTGAAGCCTTCCTCAATCTTTCCCCACTGATTTTTTTTTTTTTTTTTTTTTTAATGCTGGATACTGAACTTAGAGTTTCAGTACATGCTAGACAAACATTTCTACCACTGAGCTACATCCCTATAGCCCTCAACTTTTTCTCTTAATCTGGCCCCTTCCTGTTCTATAGCTTTTGCCTGAGTCTTCCTCAGCCTCCATGTGTACTCACCTTCCAGCTCAGTAATACTTCTTTCCCCACTTGCCAAAGTACTCATTCTAAAGTGCTTAAAAATGTTCACTGATTACATGACCTATAAGATAATGTTCTGAATGTAAAATCACTTATTTGCCTGACATGATAACACATGCCTGGAATTCCAGCACCCCAGAGGCAGAGACAGGAGGATTGCTTCACATTTAAGTAGATAAAGCATTTGAAACCGGAGTGCTATGAGCAGTAAATGGAGGTATAAAACTCAAGGCACTGTCCTGAGATTGGAGTCTGGTCAATTAACATATTATAGCAAGTTCCAGGCTAGCCAAAAACTACATGGGAAGACCCTGTGAAAAATAAAACTTCACCTATTTAATCTGTCCTTATCTTAAGCTTCTTTATAGTTTCCAACCTTCTAGTCATCTTGGGTTTTGTTGTTGTTTTGTTTGTTTGTTTGTTTGTTTTACTTTGAAATAGAGTCTCCATAGGTATTCTAGCCCACAATGACCTCAGACATAAGACCCAAGTGTTTGCAAACCAGACTGGCCTCCAACTCACTATGAAGCTCATAATGAACGAATTCCTGATGCTAGATGCATTACATTGTATGCCACC